ATGTCTTCTCGTGGTTCTGAAATTTCCATATATGTATGTAAATTCATGTTATCATACACAAGAGTTTTACCTTTTAATGTCGGTGCCATGTTACACATTCTAACTTTCATAGCAAAAAGAAATTTTGTTATATCTTAAAAACCACTTCCATTACTGGAAAAGCAAGGAGAAAATGCTTTATGAATTCAGAAGTGGGCAAGAATACAGTGCTCTAATTTTTTATTACTTGTGGAAATGCACTACAATTGATCAATAATTTTTAAGTGCTTACAATACGTTAGTATAGTTTTTGTCATAGAAAAAGATACCAAAGTAATTAACATAGTACCTTTTCTCAAATATGTTATGATATAATTATGCAAATGGGTCTAAAACACACAAAAGAATTTTGAATAATACAAAGTCATTTTACCAGGAAGTGTTATTAAGGATATCGGAGTTGAAAGGAGATGGGACCTCATGATGGTGGCAATAATAAGAGAGTGCTCCATGGAAACACCAGGATCATAATGTTGAAGACCATGCTGAACTTGTTAGTGAAACAAGGTTAACAAGTGGAAGGCATTTTGTGTGAGGGGAATCTTCCGAATGAGAAAATGCAGTTTCCAGTGGACGTGATCTTTAATGAGACAGTGAGAGGTATTTGGAAGTATTTGTTGGTAAATCACAGTAAATAAATTTAGATGAGGATGATGGAAACAGTTTATGTATGGTGTTTACATCTAGAGAGAAAAGTCTTTGTTTGGTGGTTTGACAGGGCAATCCATAATTGATATTTAAGCAGGGTCATAATATGATGTGAGCAGTGTTTAAAATGGTTGAGTCTGGAAGGAGTGTGCAATATATGGATGACAGTTGAAGGGTGGGAAGAAAGACAAGAGGCAACCCGGTGTCAGAAGTTACTGTAGTGCAGGTGTGGAGTGAGTGATAAGCTTTTAGCTTCAAGTGGTGACAATGAGGAACGGCGTGAGACAAAGAGGACACCTGAGGCATTTAATTTACTATATATCTCCATTTTAATCTTACAACTACCCTCGTATGTTTGGTCTGAAGGTTGTTGGTTTAGTTTTGTGAGCAAAATATAGTTTTGTTAATGCATTCCTTATCTCTCTCAGTTAAAGGCATTATTAAAAATCCACATTGTCCTGTCTATACAAAGATAGTACTACATAGTATTACGAATCCACTAAGAGCACGCACTTTGAAGTATTTTCCAATAGTGGCAGTAGAATTTGTTGAACCAGGCATACACCCTATACAGCCAGGATGTTTGAACAACAGCCAGTACTTTTGAGATTGTTGGCAAGGGTTAGTGACCCATTTGATGGCTCGGGACTGAAGACTCTCTATCTATGGAATAAAAGCTAGCAGGTACATAATGGGTACCATCCCCCTATGGTTTCATAAATGCCATCTACTAAGCAGCTGAACCAATCTTTTGTGGAACGTAAGCTAGCTGCCAGAAAGATGGTAAAAATTAAACCAACAGAATTTCTTTTTGAGCCAAGAAGGCCTTTTCACTTTTCACTAATTCTATAAATTATCAGAATGCACGCTCCAAATTAAACTAATAGCATATTTGATGAAGCCATGAATTTGATGCTTATATGAAACTTACAAGGGATAAAGGAATATATTTCCCATTTTAAACTAGTAACATATAGTGCTTGTCAATTAGAATGCCATTTTAGAGGTCATTTATAAGATGGAGTTCAGCAAAACAAGCATGAGGATTCTTTCCACAAAATGGGACATTTTCTTTCCTGCCCATTGGAAGCATAAGGTCCATTTTGTAATGAGAGGATAAACACTACAAACAGTGTTTTGCCATCGTCATTGCTGCTGTTGTTGCTTTGATTTTAGAACAGGACCAAAGAGCCTTAACCATGTACACTAGCTTTTGCTATGTAGACTCTACCCTGACTAAGGGGGTCAATATAAGATGGTTTTGACATATCAGTGTTCTATGTATATATTGTATCAGCAATGGCCTGGTCAGTTCCATTTGCCCTGCTGCTTCAACAACTGATTTTTTCACATCAATAAATTGACAATTAAGTGATCCAAATAAGCTGTTTTGATTGCTCAAAAGATTGTTTTAAATATGCTTTTCCCCTTGGATATTTGTAGACCTTTAATACCAAGTCTCTGTGTATCTATTCATTTATATTTGATATTTGTACTGCCCCCCTCAAAGAATGTTATTTACATAACATATTTATAGGTTAAAGTGTAGTAACTCATAGCTCATGACCTGTGTATATTGCTACCTATTATTTCTATGTTGTCAATCATGGAAGAGTTATAGAGATGTAAGTAAAATATTGTGTGAATTTTATTTACTGAAGTGAGTATTTTTTAGGGCTCTTTGAACCCTGTGGTTGCAACTTCTATTTTGGACATTAGTGACCCATGTTTGAAAATATCCAGGAATTTGCTTGGGTAGATGCAGACCTTTCATTTTTAAAGGGAGAGGATAACATTTCACTTTCTAAGCTGTACTTGTCTGAATTAGGGCTTTGGTAGGATCCTGACAGGTAGCCTAGTTGTCCTTGGCCCTAAAATGCCTAAAACACTTAGGGGGAAAAATAGATTTCAATTATATAGTTTACTGTTTGGGGCCAATTTATCTAATTTTATTTTGCAGATATAGTGAGATACAGTGATAATTAAAACGTCAATGTGGCAATTACCTACTTAGAGAAGAGACAAGACTTCCTTGTTTATGATGAAGAAAAATTGTAAATAGTTTCGATGGTAACATGAAGATGGCAAAAGGGAAATTGTGCCAGAATCATGGAGCAGAAAGGCATCGCAAGCTTCTTATGATACCAAAAATAGCAAATGATGAAAAAAATGTATGACAATATTTAATAAGTGTTTTGATATTTTTGATGACTACTTCAGGAAATGAACACTATTGAGTAGTCAAGTATAAAGCTACTTAAGATATTAAATCAAAATGCAAAGACCAAGAATTGATTGCACCAGATTGCACCATACTCAAAGAAAAAAAAAATGAAGTAGCTATTTTAGATAAAGCCTTAAAGTAGATCTATTTTTAAAAATTGTAACTATGCTGAATTAATACAAGTCAAGTTGGGGTAGATTCAAACCAGGGACTTAAAATTCTTACTCTAAAATACATGAGCACGAAGTTTATCTAAAAATTGCTTAGATAAATAATTTATTTCCGTGAGAAAAGTTCATATAAATAAAAAAGTCAGTGTGAGAAACTATACTTAAACAGGCAGGTTGGAACTTCTTGTATCATAATTCAGTTTTCATTTGGAGAGTGCCAGAAAAAAAGAATCTTATATGTTTCTTGAGCTCTAAAAGGCACAAGTATTTCTTTGTCTTACCAGCAGAGAACAAAATAGGAAAAAGGAACTTCTGGGAGTACATGGAGTTTTTGCCTGTGATTAACCACTTAAAATGCAGCGCGGATGTTCCAAGTAGCTTAATCATCATGAAGCTAGCAGTTAGGATTTTTCATTTGTTTGTTAAGATAGTTTAATAATATAATTAATAATAAAATTTATTTGCTAATCACAGGTTGTGTATTCTCAGGACACAATCGGTAATCATTTTTAATTGGGAAAAATATTTTGCTAGGTTTATTTGGGTTTACTGCTTTTTTTTTTCCAAGAGATTATATAGGCCATCATAAAAAGAATTTTTCCCATCAGTCCAGTATAGTAGGAAGAAAGAAAGCAGAGAAGAGAAATAAAAGACGGGGAGTGAGTGAGTGAACCAAGGAGGATGAAGACCTTTGCAAAAAATTAGGGAACTGCTTGGTACAGAAGAGAAATGGGTAGTAAGGGCTAAGAGAACTGCCAAAACCATTTTGTTGGTGTAGCCATAGAATACTGGATATCCACAGGAGAGCCTCTAGGTGCCACTGGACGTTTGTGCACATTTGTGTGCATGTGTGAGTGTGTGTGGAATGGGGGATGAAGGGAAGGGAGGCATTGGTATATTTTTTTATTCTGTATCAATATTCTATTTGGATACAGTTACCACAATTGTTAAGATTTCTGAAGAGAAGGAAAAGACAATGATTTTTTTTTTACTTTTGCAAATAGATTTCATACAACACATCTGAGTTTATCCTACATACATTTTGATATAGTTTGTCAACCCATAGTCCTCAAGAAGTGGAATCAGCAGTTGATAATAATTGTGCATCTGTGGTTGATTAGCTCAGTTGGTTGAATCATGGAACTAATGAGGCCGAAGCCTGGGTTTGATGCCCATGGGGGCTGGTGAGGTTTGCTCTCTTCCTGAGTTACAGACTACAGTTCAAACTCAGGCCAACTATCTCATCGTTACATGCCACTGACCATAAGGAAATTGGACAAGAGAGAGTAACTCCAACAGCATGCCTGGAAAAAGTCCCCAACTGCACACTGTTATCTGCTTGCTAATGATTGATCAGTAATATTCATGTATGAAGAGAAGCGTCAGTTATGTACTCAGTACTGCTAAAAAGGATTCACAGGAAATTTTCTGTGGCCTAAGTGACACATTAAGGAATAAACAATACTAAGAATTATGTAAAGAGAGCATATGGAAGATAGACTAATTCATAACCGCAAATTGAATCTACTTCAAATTGCAAGTGAAGCAAAATTCCACATGTTGATTTTTCTTCAATGGCTAAGTGTCTTAATTTAAAATATCTGATAAAAACATACCCTACAGGCTGGCCTCCCTTGAGTTCTGAACCAACCATGAAAAAAGACAAAGGATGGGAAAGAAGAGGTAGACGGAAGGTCAAAATATCACATTTATCATAGATAAAGACTAGATTAGAGGATGTAGCTTAGCTCTGCAGGTGAATCAGAACTTACCCATCTCTTCAGCCTAGAAAAACCAGGTCTCCCCTGTGGGACAGGCCCCATTTTATTGTCTGATAGCTCTTTTGGTAGGAGGGTCATCCCCCAAGAAAATAGGGCAGCAAGGGGGATTGATTTATACATGGACTGTTTTTCTTGCAGACCGGTCAATCAGATTGGGTCACTGTGAAGACTGACTAAGAGAAGGAGAGAGGCTGGATTGTTCCATATGAAGAGAACATCAGGCATGAAAAAGAATTCCTGCCACCCCCAATATCACCTACACAAAATCTTTTCAACTGAATAAATGGCCAGTGTAAGATGAACAAGGGAGAAAATGCCAGAAACTACAACGTACACTATGTGTACATTATTAACGTTGTAGTAGATAAATACTCTTAAACTTTTAGAGACACAGTGCAGCTCTGTAGTGTGATGGTCCTTCCTCTGGTCTCCCAAATTTCTGAGGGTGGATGATGTCTGCCACATTGTGACCATAAACATGGTCATAAAGAAATGCTTGGATAGGAAATATCTACATACCATGATGGAAAAGTCATATGCAAGGCAAATATTTTGGTGAAATAATTCATTTTACTGGTTTATTATCACTAGTGAAAACCACAATATAACTTTAATGAAATACCCCCATGAAAATGTATCTTTTCAGTGTATGCCATGTTCGCTCTTGAGGATTCACAATTCAACGATGCATTTTAGCTCTTGAATGTTTGGCTTTATCACAGTGTTTCCCATACTTTTAATAAGGAATGCCATTGTAGCTGGTGTTTGGTAAATTTAAGATTCAGAAATACTCATCAAAATCACAGTATAACCAAAATTTTTGTAGTAAAATTTTATACTGTCTAGTTTATTACTGACAGAGAATTTATTCTCAAATTTTGTCTGTTAAAAAAAAAAACCAAATGCACAGCATACCGTAAGTATGGAAAAGAACATTTTTTCATGTTGTAGAATAATAAAAGCTGTTTTGCACTTATACTCTATTGCAATCTATAGAGAAAGATGCTAGGAATATGTTCATATTGCTGCAACTGTTATTTCGAGCATGAGTGACTATACATATATACACACTAATGATTTTTGTAAAGCTGACTCTACATTTGTTAATTTTTTTCAGAATATTACTTTGGTCAGTAAAGACGTTCAACTTAAAACTTTGACATAAAACAGCAATTTTTTTCCCCCAAGGAGAAAAACCACCTTAGAAACTTAACTTGGTTATACAAGTGAGAACAACTCAATATTCATTGGTTTGACAAATCTTTCAAGCATCTCTTTTGTGCCTACACTCCTCAAAGCACCGGGGATAGAGCAGTCAACAAAACAGACAAATATTTCTGCCCTCATGGAGTTTACATTCTAATGGGAGAAGCTCATCCCTCCTCAGCTTCTCAAATATTTTTAAGTAAATCTCCTTCAAATTTAAATAAATAAAAATATTTGTCATTATAGGATGAAAAGCCCTCAGGAGGGTTTCTAAACCAAGTAAGTAACAAAGAGGTAGGATCTGGGTTGGTTAAACACATTTGTGTACTCTTCTTCAGAGAGGCAAAGGATGATAAGATTATACCAGTACAGTTTACATATTTTAGAACCTGCAGAAAGTTCTCCTGGTGAAAACAAGCTATTAAATATTACTCTTTTGATCCTTCTTGGAATATTTTTTGCTTCTGTTCTCTTCCCTATCTCGAGGAAACTTGTAGTAATCAATGTGTCTTAGCCACTTTTCTTATCTAATTCATCTGCATTGTATTACTGAATATAAATGAATTTACAGTCATTAAAACAACAGCCTAGGTAGTGATGCCGAATTTCATGATTCAAACTCCAACTCCTTTGCGTGTCATAATTTTACTTTTAATACACATAACATTTTGCCCAAATATGAGTCTTCATGATAACTATCAGGTATGAACCTACACTTTCTGTCTAAATCAAGACTTTTTCAACTATCCTGATTTAATATAGATTAGAACAGAAAATACATTATTCCCCTAGTAAAGAAAAAATTTGATAATAAACCCAGATTGATGATTCTCCATCACTATTCTAAATTGTAATTACTCTTTAGATGTATGCAATGCAGTCTAATAGGATAATTATGTGTTTTCTTATGGAGTTTCTGGATTTCTGACTTGCCTTAAGTGAACCTGTATTACATGTTAATGAATATTTTAAAAAATGAAACATCAGACAACATATTTTAAATAAATAAAATTTTATTTAATTATGATAAAATAGATGTTTTGTTTGAAAATCTCTAAGAATCCTACCGGTTATTTGTGGTTTGCAAGAAAGTTTAACCTGAGTTTACGTATAAATATTGGTTAGATTTAGGTTTCAATCTTGTTTCCATTTAAGAATGATACATGGAGTTTTGTAAAATCTAAGATTCACAGACATTTAAGTTAGTACAATCTCTTTAATAATACATGTGGTCCTATTCTTATAACTTGATCTTTGGAGAAGTTGTTAACAAAAATAACTTAACTATATTTGAAAGGAATAAAATTTAATTGCAAAGATTCAAGATTATATAGGAAAATCTATAAGAAAAATGCTTTTTACAGAAGTAGGCCTTTTGTTGATGAAAATAATCACCAAATACATCTTTTGATATGTTTATGTTGATAAAACTGGACAACAGTATAATTCAACTTGAATTCCTAACTGAATGCTTTTTCAGCAGTTATCTCAAAACAGAACTCTGAACGTTCCTTACATTCCTCATGTTCTTCTCTGCATAAAGCAAACAGTCCAGATAATCAGAATTCACCAAACCCAAAATTATTTACTTTTACTTTTTAAAAAAAGATTTATTTATTTATTTGAGAGAGAGAGAGAGCACAAGTGGGGGGGTGGGAGGCAGAGGGAAAGAATCTCAAACAGACTCCCCCGCCCCTGAATGTAGAGCCCCACGCAGAGCTCAATCTCAGGACTCTGAGATCATGACCTGAGCTGAAACCATCTGACACTTAACTGACTAAGCCACCCAGATGCCCCTACTTTTACTTATTTTCAGTGAATTTTATTCTTCCTCCTCCAAAAAAAACAAAAACAAAAACATCCCAACATATAGTAGTCTAAACAATACTAAAAAATATTTAACACAATTGTACAGAAGAAATAATGTCATATTCTATGCCTCCGCCTATTCTCATTACCCCACAGGTGGTGGGGGAAGGAGGGGAGGAAAGAGAGTGAGAGAGACAGAGAGAGAGAGAAACAGAAAGGAAAAAATACAACAAGCTAAAAGATTTACTTTTTTAAAAAAACAGCATGCCTAATGAAAGAAAATTAGCCCTTGGATAGGAATCAGATGGCCTGGGTTGCTGGGATTTCTATCCCGGATATATTACTTTAAGCAGATATGTTAATCGCTCTGACCTTCAGTTCACTGATTTGTAGATGAGAGTAATAATACCTGCTCTGCTTAACTTTTAAGATGTGATAACTATCAAATGATAGTTGTAAAATATAGCATCAAATAAATGTACAATCATGGTTGTACCATTGATGTTCGTAAGAAATATTGCTGGGAAATACTGCTAGAGAGATTTTTGTTATTTTTTTTAGTTGGGCATGAAGTTCAGAGGCTTAAAAAATGATATAGTATTTAATGCTATTTAATGCTTACTATGTACTAGACATGTTCTAACTCTTTAATGCTTACTATGTACTAGACATGTTCTAACTCTTTTAGGTTAATTAATTTACTTAATTCTTTCAATAACCAAATAGGGTAATTATTATCTTTATTCCTATTGCAAAGGAGGGGAAAGTCAGCATACACTGATTAAATGACTTACCCAGGGTCACAATGCAAAAAGGACATCCGAATATCTGGTCAAGCCTGTGTCAGCAGGGCAATGTCTTCTATAGCATCCAGCTACACCGTTTTTCTGCCTCTCTCGAAACCTAAGTAAATGAGAGGGACATGTGGGTATGCTCATGGTGGTGAGTCTTCCTTCTGTAGCAACTCCCCAGTCTTTAAAAAGCACTTCCTTGGGGTGCCTGGGTAGTGCAGTCGGTTGAGCTTCCAACTCTTGATTTCGGCTCAGGTCGTGATCGCGGGGTTGTGAGCTTGAGCTTCTCATCGGGCTCCGCGATAAGCTTGGAGTCTGCTTGAGTTTCCCTCTCTCTCTCTCTCTCACCCTCTGCCCCTCCCACTCATTCTCTCTCTCTCTCTCTAAAAGAAATAAATAAATCTTTAAAAAAATAAAAATAAAAAGCACTTCCTTGACTTAAGTTGATACTTATTTCCCTATTACTAGCAAGCATGAATACCTGCAACTGTAGAAAGAAAAATACTTCCACAGTTCACTACTCCTATTGAAGAAAGGAATTTCACTGTAATTTGGACAAATGATAGTGAAGGGAGTAGGAAGGGTCAAGTATAAAATAAGTTTTTAAATATAGTGATAGAACTGTATAAATATGTTCTTAGATGCTTATTATATATATGGGGAAAAACAGTTTTGTAGTATAACCTAAGCAATAAATCTTTTGAAATAAAACATATTGACCATGTTTGATCAACATATGTAGGAAATTTTTGTATATACACATGCACATGTTAACATTTCAGAAGCTCAGACTGAATAGTTAAGTAGATCTATTCTCCACACCCTGGAAATTTATCTTTCAGGAGCCACCATTATCAAAATCAAATATGTGCAGTTAAACACAGTGATCATTGATGCATTGTTTGTGAATAAAGCAAGTGAAATTAAATAGTCAACTCTGACCCCAATTCTGACTATGCTAAGAGCTGTTTTCTAAAACAGATTTTATTTTAAGTTTTAGATTATTATTTTAACCAAAGTATGTATTTAGTATATGTAAATACTCCTTTTAAGTTTTGTGGATCTAGTTTCTTTTCTTTCTTATGTTGAAATGAAAATAACAAATAATAAGATGTTCCTTTTCTTTAAAATTAAAAGCGTCATAAGGAATACTTTTAATTATTTAACTGTAAGTAAATAACACTACACACACATACATATTCTTCTCTTTTCATATCATTTTCCATTTTCAAATAATAAGAGAACACACATTTGGACAAGCAACGCATGCAGTTTGTTCGTTAGAAATCAACATCAAAATTATTTTGAAAACAGTCAAGGGCTTCAGGTCTACCTTGTGTCATACTTGAACTATCTAATCAAACAAAATATGCAATAATGATTTTATTCACGTATATGCATTGCATCTGAACTCTTTTTTTTTCTATCTTTGGCCTGAAGTTTGGTATTGATTCGCTAGAACAGATATTACACCAAATACTTACTTTTTTTGGTGCTTTCTCAATGCCATCATGCTATCAGACAACCTTTGCAGCACACATCCCATCAGTTATATGATTTTTTTGTAATGCTTAAAGCACAGAGTGAATTTTGAAATCTGTCACAGAATTATTCTTACTTTCCAGATTTTAACTTAGCTATCAATGTCTAGGTCCACATAAAGCTCGTCTAGTTTTTGTTTTCACCCCCTCTCACCCAACCTTCTCTTTACACCCGTTCTCAATCACATTCCACGTTTAAAGGTATCTATGTCTCAACGGTCATAACTTGCTGGAGGGAAAACATGTGGCCTTATGTTAAAGAACTTTTTATGAGGTGCCTGGGTGGCTCAGTCAGTTGAGCATCCGACTCTGATTTCCACTCATGTCATGATCTTGGGGTGCTGGGATCAAGCAGGGAGTCTGCTTGAGAATTCTCTCTCTTCCTCTCCCTCTGCCCCTCCCCCCACTCTCTCTCTCAAATAAATAAATAAATCTTTAAAAATAAGAACTTTTTGGCATGTTTTATCATTTCCACAAGATTTTAAGCTTTCTGAAGATATGGGTCTATTTCTTGCATAGCACCTTACACATATGCTGTACTCATTATTTATTAGCTATTAAAGGAATGATGGCAACCTTGACACGACTATAATGTCCTGGTTATATGTTTTATTTCTGAGCCACGGCAGATTAAATTCAGTAAATAAGGAGTTGGCATAGACCCTTACAGGAAAAGATTGACATCCTGACAAAGAAAAAAAAATAAATGAAGTTATTGAAACCCAAATTATAAAATATATATAATACAAATGTAATACAGTATAAAACATAAATATATAAAAACCATGTAGCTTATAGATAAATAACCACAGTCTATTTTTGAAAACTCGTATTGACTTTATACTATGCACAATACTTGATGCTATGGCAAGTTAAGGAAACACATTCTTCTTTTAGATTTTTTAAGAGCAGGTTTCGGTTCAGGGCAACATGGAGAGGAAGATACGGAGATTTCCCACATACCACCTGCCCACCCACATATGCACAGCTCCCTCATTATCAACATCCCCCACCAGAGCAGTGCATTTGTTACAGTTGATGAACCTACATTGATACATCATTATCCCCCAAAGTCCATGAGGTTTACATTAGGATTCACTCTTGATGTTGTACTTTCTCTGGGTTTGGACAAATATATAATGACATCTACCACTGTTACAATATAGAGAGTAGTTTCACTGTGCTGCGCCTGATCATCCTGTCCTTCCCTCTGACCTGCTGCTGTAAACATATCTGTGTAGGTTTTTGTGTGGACGTATGTTTTTAACTCCTTTGAGTGAATACCAAGGAGCATGGTTGCTGGA